TCGAGCTGTGCGGGGACTGGGACAATTGATGCCACCGACGCCGCCGTGGCACGGCGCGCTGGCTCAGACGCAGCGGCAAGCAGCGAGACGACGTCACGATGAGAGCGCTGCTCCTCGAAGCAGAACACGCTCGCTCGAGAAAAGACCCAGCGGATGTCACCCATCGAGACGCCCTCCCCCCTCCCCCCATGGCCTGCGTGGCCGGATGAACCAGGTGATCATTCCATCCCTCGCAGGCCCAGGCCGACCAAAGCCGCGTCACCGACGGAGGGGCTGCCAGCTGACGAGCGGCATGCGAGTCTCTGCCGCCCCCCACAATCGTAGAGAATGATCGTTCAAAAAGGCGAGAGGGTGCGATGCCACCACCGGCAGGGCGCGTGGTGGGGCTGGCACGCTCGGTGCACCCTGCCCCTGGTCGCGTCAGCCTGCCACGTGACCCGCTCGTGTCACGCTTACTTGCGCATTCTTATTTTTGGATGTTGATATTCCAAATAAATAAACTAATTAAATTTACTTACGAAAAATATTTCATTTAGTAAAGAATATCAGAGTACGTTTTTTTTTGCATTCTGACCACAAGCATTGTGGTTAATACAGACATGATTCCTTGTAAAAGGTTTCAGATTAGTGTTTTAACATCTTAACACCTATTTTGTTGCCAGAAAAAAAGGGGAAAACCTATTCTCAAAGAATATCTATTTTTTATACCCGACGCCTACGCCTACACCCCGCCCAGCCGACAGGGTGTCTGACTACCGATGGCTGCTGCGATGGCTGCACGAGCCGGCGCCTTCCCCCCTGACCAGGCCGGGCCACGGCACGAGCCGAGCGACAGCCGCTGCGGGGAGGTCAAGCGTGCTCGGGAGCCGACTTAAAAAAAAACGGTGCTGACCGACGCGACTCAAATGTCGAGACCAAACAGTACGATTCCCGTCCAGCCGGAGCCCTCGCGCGGCAGAGGTCGCAAACGGGTTTTGATTCCTTACCCGTACCCGGCCGCACCAGGGTCGAAAACGGGTACCCGTACCTTACCCGATACCCGGCTACCCATACCCGGCCGAGTATCGGGTAGGGTACGGGTACGGGTACCTGATTGCCATGTTGCAGGCGCGGGTGGGTGATTCTAGGAACTTGAATGTGAGAAGAGCACAAGACGTTGGAAATGAGTGACAACGGTTACTCACCAGTGACTCCGCCTACCTGTACCCGTACCCGGCTGGGTACGCGGTAGCCGGGTATAGGGTAGGGTACGGTATTGGGTACCCGGTTGCGACCTCTGTCGCGCGGCCGGCATGGTGACCGAAGTGGAACAAATAAATCGCCGACTTTTCCCCCCTGAGCCCGACAACGCCCTGCGCTTCATGCACAGCTCTTCCACACCGCCACCGGCTCTTCACCGTTCCGCGTAACCTCCGCGGATTTTTGCGCGGTACGAGACGCAAGCGCGCCCTGCCCGTGCCGTCGGGGGCCTCACCTTGTAGAGGCGCAGGCTGGCCTCGTGCCGCTGGCCCGTCACGTGCAGCCCCAGCTTCTCCAGGCTGTTGGTGTAGTAGTCGCAGGCATTGCACTTGAGCTGCACGGGGCTGCCGAGCGCCGCGCACTTGAGCCGCCACTGGTTGGCGTGGCCGCCCTCGCGGAGGTGCGCCACCAGCTGGTACTTAGCCACGTGCTTGTCGGTCTTGCAGTGCAGCTGGAAGTTGGCGCGCAGCGGCGTGCTGTACTGGCACAGGCGGCAGGCGTGGGCGCCGTCGCCGGCGGTGCCCTTCCACTCATCCTCGGGCAGGCGGCGCTCGGCCGAGGCATGTGCCGCCAGCGCCTCGAGGCCGTCGGTGCTGAAGGCGTTGCACACGCCGCACAGGAACAGCTTCAGCGCCGGGTTGTCGGCGCCCGATGGCTCCCCACCACTGGCGGCGCCGCCCAGCAGCGCGGCGCTCGTGCCGTCGTCGGCGAGGAGCCAGCGCGGCCCCCGCCAGCCTCATGTCCAACGGCAGTTCCCCGCCTGCGGGGCGCCGAGGCGAGACGCGCGCGAGGTTAGGCCGCGGTCAAATTTCCTCGAGGGCCGGAGGTCGAACCCGCGCGGTCGGTCGCGGCCCGCGCCCCCCACCCCCCCCCAACGGCACGCCGGTCCAAGCGTGCTCAAAAAGTGCATCGCCGCTCGCGTTCAAATTCTCCGAGAAGCTAACGTCGGAACAACGTGGAGCGCCTTTTAAAAAATGGACTAATATTTATCACGTAGCTCTTGGTATTGAATGTCCGGAATGAAAAAATGCCAGCAGGTGAAGGTTAGTGCATAATCAATGCCTCAACACAGGGGCAAGCATGTGCGAGTTAGCACCAACACAATTTGAACACAATCGAATTAGCAAATGGCAGTAATTGCTGCAAGGACAAGGCAATCGGGGCCCTAATTCGCGTAGCGCGTCCCCCCGCCCCCCCCGTCGCTTTCTCCACACGTCTGCCAGCAGCCCCCCCACCCCCCCCTTCCCGCCGCCCCCCAAAGCCGGCAACGTCAGACAAAATAAGTAAATAACGGAATGTACAAGCCTCGAGGCGGTAAGAGAATTCAAGGCGAGTTTTTTTTGGAAAATTCGCAAGTCCTTATGTAAGCGTTAGAAAGGGCCGCTTTGATGGGAGGCGTGGGAAGCTTCCCCTAGGTATGGCGTGGCCGCCGCTCGGAACACAAACAGCCACAGAGACTGTCGGCTTTCAGGAGCTGCCACAGAAGGCGGTTTTAAGTCTCCGCTGCCAAGCCGAGCCATGGGAGTGGAGTGCAATGCGACTGCATGTGGTTTCATAGCGAATCACTGTAATTTGTCTTCACAGAAATACCACCGTAAACAAGAGCCCTTGCAGATTTAGCACCTGCGGCAAATGGGCGGGTGAGGCGGGAGGGGCAGGGGCGGAAGGGCGGTCGAGTCTCATGAAAGGCGGGAAAAAAAACAAAAAAATGCTTGAGAATGGTTTCAGCGAATTCCATGAATATGAAGAACATATATAGGGCATGCATTGTGTGCGTGTGTGGGTACACATGGAGATATTGCCAGCGGGAGGGGGGGCATGCAGGATGGTTGAAAAGTTGACAAAATCAAGAGTTACGAGCAAAAAAAGATCGTCGTCGTGTGTAAACTGAACTTTTCAAGAGTAAGTGGAGGGATTTTGCCACGCGACCAGCAGCTCCTGGCAAAACACGGGCGTCTGGAAGGAATCCCCAACCTGGGTTGTCGTGAATATCTTTGCATTTTTTGCTTTGACAAAATCGACTTGACTCATGATTATCGCATAACTTACAATCCTTAGCTAATTCGCTGCTGTGGATGATGGGCCTCCTCACACTGCGTCGGTCATGAGGGTCGCTTGATCATGCTTCGCCACGTTGGTCAGTTCGGTTTTGCGACGGAGGATGGCCCAGGGGAATGGTTCTGACATATCACTCGCCATGGGATATCAGCCCTGGCTGGGCATCAAACTCGGGTCTCTGCCACCACTCAGCCCGAACCTGCAAATGCTCATAATTATTTATTTACAGCTCCGCAGATGTAATGGTTGAACCATCGCCGCTTAGGAGAAACGTGTGTGTGTGTGCGCGCTCCGCAACCACAGTTTTCCTTTTGCGACCAAGCCAGATTTAACAAAATTGGCCAAACTACCCAAGCGGCGCCGCGGCCCCTCTCACTTCTGCTCGTTTACGTGTTAAGTTCGAGGATGAGGTTCCACGTGTTTAGTGGGGGGGGGGGGGGGGGGGGGGGGGGGGGGGGGGGGTGGGGGAGCGTGTGAACGGAGGGAGGGGGGTGAAGGGAGGCGGGGTGTTTGGTTCGTGGACGGTGCTCGCGACGCCGTCCGTACCCAGCGTGGGCGCGAGGGCGCCACCCGTCGAGTTGGGGTCGATCTGGAAGCCGGAGAGCAGCAGCTGCTGTTGCTGCGCATCGCTCAGCCCCCCCTCCAGCTTGAGGCGCTCGGGGACGCCGGCCCCGTGCGACGCCGCCGCCACCGCCGCCGCCAGGTAGTACTGGTAGAGCTCCGCCTCAGTGGGTGTGCTCAGCATGCCGCCCGCCAGCCCCGCCAGCCCCAGCTGCTGCAGCCCGTGCTGCTGCTGTTGCTGCTGCTGTTGCTGCTGGTGGTGGTGGTGGTGCTGCAGCGTCTTCATGCTCTGCTGCAGCAGCAGCAGGTTGTGCGCGTGCTTCTCGCTCGTCATGTGGATGCGGAGGTTGCGCGCCACGTTTGTCTCGTAGTCGCACACCTCGCAGCGCCACACGGGCTTCTGCTGCTGCGGCCGGGCCTTGGGTGCCGCCGCCGCCGCCACCGCCGACGGGGGGCCCGCGCCGATCCCGTTGTTGCCGCCCCCTCCGCCGCCTCCGCCGCCGACGCCCAGGCCGAGGCCCAGGCCGCCCGGCGCCGTGCTCGGCAGGTGGTGCCCGTACGCGGCCTGGTCGGCCGAGACGGGCCCGCCGTTCTGCAAGCTCTGCATGTTGTTGAGGTGCTTGTCGGACTGCATGTGGATGCTCAGGTTGCCCTTGGTGGTGGTGGAGTAGTTGCAGACGTCGCAGCGGAAGGGCTTGTAGCCACACGTGTAGCTCTCGCCGCGCGCCAACCGCGGGTGCGCCTGCCCCGACGTGCAGAAGTTGCAAACGTCGCCCGGCTCGGGGTGCTTCTCCTTCATGTGGGCCTCTAGCGTCTGCTGGTACTTGTAGTGCCAGTTGCACTTGGGGCACTTGAGCGTCTTGCAGGAGTTGCGCGACTGCATGGCCGCCGACAGGTGTCCCCCGAGCGCGAGCGCCGTGTGGCTCAGGAGGAAGTCGCATTTCGGCGACTCGCGGTCGCTCTCTGGGGTGTAGTCGCCCTCCCTCACCAGGCAGGGCGGTGTCGACCCCAGCATCCGGTGAGGCCGACACAGCGCCATCTCGACCGCCGTGGCCACCTCGCCCTGGTCGACGTCGGTGTCTTTCAGGGCGCCGTCGGGCAACCCGTCGGCCTTGCCGTCAGAGAAGTCGCCGCGCTTTTGAGCGGCGTATTCCGCGTTCAGCTCCGAGCTGCCCGCGGCGTTATCAGAGAGAATCGATAAGGAGTTAAACGAGGGACCCTTTGGAGAGGAGTTGAGCGCTTGAGGCAGGAAAGAAGTTTGAGAAATGCTTTGGTTTGTAAGACTCGAGAGTTCGTTGCTGCTCGCGCTGTCCCACAGCCCGAGGCGAGCGCCGTCGCCGCTGTCGTCGTCGCCGTCGTCCTCGTCAAACTCGTTGGCGTAGAGCTCGTCGCCGAATTCTTCTTCCTCCACGTCCGTGGGCTCGGACTTGATGGGGACTTTGGCTGCCGCCGCCGCGGGTCCGTCGGCGGGCTTCTCCTCGCCCTCCTCCCCGGCGACAGCATCGGCGCCGCCCAGCTGCCCCAGCGACGCCGAGGGAGCGGTCTGGCCCCGCGAGAATTTTACCAAACCCCCAAGGTTCATCAGAGCGTTCGACCCCCACTGCTGCTTCGCAGGAGGGGCGGTCTGCTCCGTCATCTTTGGATTGCACTTACCACTTCCCTTCGCCAAGCACTGGCCGGCCTGCAGGCCCTCCATGCCGGGCACGTGGACGCCGCTGAACACGCCATAAAAATTTGGTCTTGGACCTTCGAGGTTTGCCGTTGAGGTTATCGTCGCCTGTTGAAAGCTTGCAGTTTTTGGTTCTAGAAAGCTGATCAGGGGCTCCCTGTCCTTGCCTATGCCCTGGATGATGGCCGACACGTTCTTGCTGGCAAGCAGCCTCCGCTCCTCGTCGATGAGCGTCATTTGGTGGTCGTGGGCGGCGTGCGTCGCGAAGGAGCGCACGTAGCCGAAGGACAGCTTGCACAGGAAGCACATGAGGATGGGCTTCCGCTTGCCGTACAGGGCGCAGCCGTCGAATTTGGTGAGGTCTACGGAGGTGGTGGGAACATCTTTGGCTGTGCAGGAGTTTTTGGCTGAGCCGTCGCTGTTGAGATACTCGTCCGCTTCGTCCTTGTGCCGGACGTCGAAGACGCGGGAAGCTGTGCAGCACGGGGCCGAGCCCCGGCACCAGCACTGAGGTATTTGGGAACGTCGCCTGGTCCACGCTGAACCGCCGCGCCAGCGACGACGCGATGTGAAAGGTGCTCACAATCTGCGGGTGCGCCGAGTCTCTGGCCTTCGAGTTCACGTTTAAAGCTTGCTGGAACGCGCCCCCGGCGCCGCCGCCGCCGCCGCCGCCCTCCCCCCCCTTGCAGAGCTCCTTGTCCTTCTCGACGATATAGGCCGAACCGTCGGGGTGGTAGACGATGTCACCCGTCAGGTTCTCCACGTCGCTGTCGTCCTCGGCCTCGCTCACCTCGCTCTCCTCGTCGCGCAGCAGGGGGGGGAACGCGCCGGGGCAGTGGTGCTCCATGTACGACTGTAAACTCGGGAATGAGGTGGAGCATTGCTTACAGCGGATATCTTTGGCAGAGGAAACAAAGGTGGAAGAAGCAGCAGCGGCCGCGTCGGGTAGGGGCCCGGAGCCGTGGCAGGGCGCGGCGAGGGCCGCGGAGCAGCGAGGGATCGCTCAGCCGCTGGGCCTCGCTGCCGGCGGCACGAGCCTCAGAGAGGGGGGAAGAGGAGGCGTCCAGGGCTTCGGCGGCGAGCACGGCCGTCTGCTCGTACAACAGCGAGGGAGCGGGCAGCCCATCCTCGTGCCCCGAGACGCTGGGGGAGTCACACGCTTCCATGGCAACGTGTTCCCGGGGATTTCATTTCATCCGGCTGATCAGGGACCTGCGGCACAAGGTGAGAATTAGGTTTAAGGGCCAGGAAACGCGATGCTTAAGATGCAATTTGCACATAGACACGCTAAGTTTTTGTGGGGTCTTTTTTTATCGTACTTTTTTTTAGGGGGGGGGGCGGGGGGGGGTGGCGGAGCGCGGGGGCAGGGGGATAACGTTGCACAATTGTGTTGCAGTCCGACGCAAACGAAAGCTCCCATTGCAAATCGATGGACGATCCATCGCGACGCGACCAACCGGCGGCGGCGGCGGTGGCCGGCGGCCGGCTTCAATAGTAAAGGAAAACAAACGGCGGTCAATGTAAAATCAATGCCGCGAGCAACGTTTCATCAAAAGGGACGATTTAACTTAGAGCAGTGGCGCAAAAAAAAAACTTCACCGATCAATCGTGACTAAATTGTGTCGTGTCCGTGCGCTTTTGGCAGAGGTTCTGTAACATTCGTGTTTTCAAAAGAGGAAAAGAGAAAAAAAACGCTACAAGCATTACAGTGCGCAGTACTTTCACAGCAATTACCGCTCACGGGAGACGGTGCAGGATCAATGCAGACAATTAGCTCTCCGAACCCCTACATTCAGTTTCGGGCGCCCATTAACTGAAGTGCATACGGGAAGCCAGGCTAACGGCCTTCAGAAACAATTTTCAGTTTGTTTACCAGCATCCTATTGGTCCCCGATGAATATGCAATCACGGTGAGGAGCCCATCAAGCGCGCTCCGCTGCCGCCGCCGCCGCCAAGATGCGCGCAAAGGATGCCTGAAGGTCAGACCATTACTCCCTCGTCCGAGCATTACATGCCAGGCAGGCTGGAAGGTTGACCGCATCATCAGTATGAATGAATATTTAACATTTAACCCGACACATGGCCCCCGTATGCAAGCAATCCCCCAACAAGCCATGAGGAAGTGCCTGCTCGGTATAAACACCGACAAAGACAAACATCTCCTGCCCCCACCCCCCGCGTGGCCTACTGCTGGGGAAAGGGCGGTTAGCGAGCGCCTATAATGGCCGGCTCGGCACACGGTAGGCCGTTGTCATCAGCGCCACGCTCGGCTGCTTTAGTCTCCCCACGTTCTGATTTCTACGCATCAAACCGGGACATCTTTTAAGGCCAAGTCAACCTAGGACAGACCCAAGACCAGTCCGGATATTCGCCACTGATGTTAGCTGTGGCCAGGATTCGAGTTCAAATGAGTGCAGTGCTCTAACCACGATACTACCACTCCCTATATAACCACACACACGCATGCATGTCATAAATATCCACCCTAAATGATACACTGAAATAAACCACTTATTACAAATGTGCAGCTCTTTGTCAATCCATCACTGGATAGAGGCCTTCTCAACACCACATCGGCGCGTGGCGGTTGTTTGACCGTACTTCACCACTCGGTGCGAATTGTTTATGGAGGTGCCCAGGGTGAGATCAGATATCACTCGACGTTAGCCATGGCCCGGAAACAAACTCGGGTCACTGGGTTCACGGTGTAACACAGCAACTATTGCACCACCACGCCTAATTAGACAATGAATATCCCTACCTAACAGGTATGCAAATGCACAGTTATTTCCCGGGAGAGTGACGGTGCAGTGGCTTGCACACCACGCTTTCAAAGCCCAGTGACCGAGTTGGATTCCCAGCCACAGGTAAACATCAGCGGCACAGGGAGGAGCGTCTCCGTCCCACCGCCACCCTCGCCAAGCCGCGCTGACCAGCGTGGTGAAGTGTACTCCTCTCGCAACCCTCATAAGCTGACACGGCTTGGGAAAGCCTCCGTCTAAAGTCAATTGAATTTTTTTTTCTAAATTATGATTTTTAAAATGTACAAACACGCACAGTAAAATCGCTCGTTTAAGGCGGGTGATGCGTTCCTTGGAAGTGCCTCATTAAGCGAAGAGAGTGTTCAAAGCGAAGAATTACTGTACAAGACCGAATCACATTTGCACTATAAAAATCTGCCTGCAGTCCATGCCACGGAGGGACAAAGCACTGAGATGAGGGCACAACGACGCCGTGCAATGTTTCGTTCCTCGTACCGCATCACTCTGCTGCTCAACCAGGCAGCTCGAGAAAGTAGTTCGTCATCGACCGCTCAGAGACCGCGTTACGACGAAGCGTGTTCCCGCGTCGTGCAAAAAGCGTTCCCGAATAAAAGAACCGTGCTGAAGCGTGAGAAAGCGTCAAGTGAGGACTTCTGTACGTAAAAATGTGCACCGACTCATAAGGAAAGAAGAGTTCAGAGTTCAGGGCTCCTGTCCTGGAGGCTTGTATGGAATGGGAAGGCTGAGATGAGGATGCACGAAGGGCGGCACTCGCGACTTTGGCGACGTTCTCTACGGTTGAGAACCCCCTCACAGTTCCCCTCGCTCACATCCCGCACCTCAAATATCAACCACCCCCGAGCCCGACTCTACCCCAATACCACCTGTAGCACAGACACAGATCCCCTTCCCGTGCAGCTGCACGGACGGCTGTTACTGTCAGCGAGCCACTAGCGAGGCTGGCACAGCGACGAAAGGGTGGCCGCGTGAGCCATCGCCACGCCTGGCCAATGTTTTTCCTGCCGAGTGCCGATGTCTGCACGTTTGCACCGGCTACTCGTTCGAGGCCCAAGTCGATCTAGCTAGCGGAGGCCCAGCACCGGCACAGGTGAGTCGTCACTGATGCTAGCCGTGGCCGCGAATTGAACTCGCATTGCTGGCATCGTAGAGCAGAGCGCTAGCCACGCAACTGCTCCCCACGAAGACAAAGATCCCCCATATAGCCTGAACAGACTGTTGGGGCAAGTGCTGTTAGCGAGCACCTATGAAGGCTGGAACGGCACACGAGGGGGTGGGTGGCCAGCACCACGCCTGGCTGCCTTTGTCTCCCTAGTGGAGATGTCTATACACCATATTAGGTACTCATTTGAGGCTGAGTCGACCTAGAGGAGGCCCAGGACCGGTTCAGATAATCGTCACTGGTGTTCGCCATGAGTGGGAATCGAACTCGGGTCGCCAGGTTTGTAGCATAGCGAGCTAACAGCTACACTGCCGCTCCCCATACACACACACACGCGCGGGTACATGCACATGCATACATATGCGATATCACATGCTAAATTTCAAAACACAACATGCAATTTTTACAACATTTGTTAAAATGCTATTTATTTTTTTCGATTTGTTTAAAATAAAAATTTTCATGTTATATATATGTTTTACATCACGTATTAACCACGTTCCAATTGTCATCGTTATGCCATGGAGGTGGATTTTATCATTTCAGTATAGTACAACACTGCCGAGGACAACATCTGCGCTGCTTTAGCGTCCCGCACGGATGGGCGAGCGTTGCGAGGCGTGCGCTGGCAATCGTGAGGAGTTTCCGGCTTCCACGAAGCCGTGCGCGCACTGCTCCAATCGTAGTTTACACCTTCGCCAGCACATAAACGCCAGGTGTGATTGTCACAATGAAAAATAATACAAATTAATAGTAATAATAATAAAATGTTACATGCTTGCAGCACGCACAACGATGCAGAAATGCGCAAACGCGGCCTTTGCTAGCGCCGATGGAGAGGGCGGGACGCTGTTCGGAGACGCACCACGCTTGTCGAAAAGAGAGCCGGGCGCTGGGACAGATGGGGAACGACGGAGAGGCGCCCCATAGACAACCAAGCGCCATTCCTCGGGCTCACGTCGTTTGCGTGGGAGTCGGTTATTTCGCTGTTCGTGAAAATGACACAAGGACGCAAAGGTTACCTTGCCGGTGGAGTGAGCAAAAGTGTACAAAAGTTAGAAATATAGCACGAATAAATAATGCGAACAAGATGGAGAAAATTTTATTTTAAATTATTTTTAACAGAATTGTGACAATCTAATTGCATGTATGGGTTGGGTGTGAACTGCTCCAAGCCTAGCAAAGGGACCACCATAGCAACACCAGGGTGGCACCACGGCACAGCAATCGAGTGTGCAGGCGGTGCAACTGCACCAAGGTCCTCAGACCGAAGGGGCCCAGGCACCGAGCTATGAAGAGGAGTTGAGGGGGCGTGGGGAGGAAATTGGCCAGGTGTAGGCCCCATTTAATCCTTGCACCAGGGCTCATGCCAACCACACCATGCCACTGCATGTTGGCACCACAGGGGCGTCACTGTGGCCGCCGTGCTCGTTGAGTTTTTCGCAGCAGCAGATTTCAATACACGAGCGAGGGAATAAATCCAGCGCTGCCTGTTAGAGCCACTAACCAACCATGAAGCTCAGGGCTTCATAAAAGAGCCAATTATAACACAAGGAAAAGGGGAGGGCCCAAGACTGGCTCTGTCTTTGAACTTTCCAAGCGGCTGCTTTGGAAGCCGGGCTAAGCAGTGGGGAGGGATTAGGGGATCTGTTGCTCCGAAGTTCTGGTTGCTCTCACCTTTGTCTGACACACTTTTGCAAAACAGCCGATTCACCTGGCATGCGTTTAACGACCTCCAATCTGCACCAAGGCGCTATGCCGACGCAGGCCAAATTAACCCTGCCCTGCCCGCCTGCCTCTTCATTCAGAGCCCCCCCCCCCCACCCCTCTGGGCAAAACTCACAGCCTTGGTAGGGGTAGGTGAGTGGGGTGTGGGTGGGGTGGTCTGCGACTGAAAAGGGGGGCGCAAGTGACGCATTAACTAATGGGCAATTCACTTAACACAATTTTAATTTATGACAGACGCTGACGCAGTGAATATACACAGGACGCTTATGCATATATTCATTGGGTGCACATACATCAAACATATCGTGACTGGGGGACTCATCATTG